GAGCAGCGGGGGAGGGGGTGGGAGAACAAGAGGCGGTATGACACGACCCCCTAATAATGACAACCTTGTGACCTTCAAATTGGTCGTGGTTGGAGATGGAGGTGTTGGAAAGAGCGCAATCACCATACAGTTCTTTCAAAGATTATTTGTCACTGACTATGATCCTACCATTGAGGACAGTTACATTCAACATACAGAGATAGACAAACAATGGTGTATCCTTGATGGTAAGTTCACTGATAAAAACACTTGGTTGCTTTGTTGCATTTAATTTTGCAATCCGCTACTTTTGGACTATGCTTAATGCCATCATATTAGGTTTACAATGCAATCTATACAAGGATTTATTTATACTTAACAGTGTTAGATACAGCTGGTCAAGAAGAGTTCAGTGCCATGCGTGAACAATACATGCGCAAGGGTGATGGGTTTCTATTAGTATACTCTGTGACTGACAAACAATCTTACGAGAATGTCATGTTTTTTTACACCCAAATACTTAGGGTAAAGGATAAAGACGCATGTCCTATGCTTTTGGTAGCCAATAAAGTTGACCTAGTGCATTTGAGGAAGGTTACAGAGGAACAGGGAAGGGAGTTGGCTCATCAGTTGGGTATACCTTATATTGAAACCTCTGCCAAAGACCCGCCATTAAACGTAGACGCAGCATTCCACGAGGTAGGGGATACAAAAGAGATAGAAAAGAAACACGATTATTGTATAAGTACATAGTTGCATGTGATGGAAAGGGACATGAATAATTTTGCTTTAGGTCGTTCGTATTATCAGAAATCAACCTCCAGTCAAATTGGAAAAAAATCGGAGGAAACGAAGACGCTCGGGCAAGTGTAATCTTTTATAAAGCTCGAGTATATGGAGCGAGTACATTGGAGTTGCGTAATTGGGATTACGCAGTATCTTTTTAAAGGATCACTTTTTCTCAGAAAAAGCGAGACGCATCTGCCAAAAAACAAAAAAGAGAACGAATGAAAAATGGGTCTTCTCTCCTTCATCGTATATAGGTACACATGATTCGTACGTTTTTCTTTTCTTTTTTTTTTTTTTTTGTCGTCGATTCACGTATGAGTTCATTAGTATTAATAAGCATCGATCGATCCCACTCTTGTAACATAAGTGTACAAAATAGTAATGATAAGAATTGCATCAATCGAAAGAAAAAAAGAAAAAAAAACATTACTATATATATATATA